AATCCCAAGACGGTTCTCTCAATCGTACCGTTGCTTCGCAAAGCCTTACTGCGGGTTAGATTCTGTTGAGGGTCTTGCAGGACGTGCCAGAGGTGCGCGCCAAGTAGGTCAATCACTAAGTGTTGCCACTGAGTGAATCCCCTACCTGTAGGTTGGGTTTGTCTTAAAGTTGAACTGTGAAGTGCAAAGTGCTCAAGGTAGTAACCAAGTAACAATGTGCAATTGATCGCGAAGAGCTAAATACATGATGGGAAATGAGTGTCCTTATATATCCAGTCCTTCATATCCTGGGCTCTGATCGGGTCATATCCTGGGTATGATCCGATCATATCGTGGGTATGATCTTGTCAGAGCGTGGGTATGATCTCGTAACGCCCTTCGTTATCTGTTGATCATATCCTGGCTATGATTGTGATCACGTGACCCCTTTTGTCTTCATAACGTGACAACCTCCCTTCATAACGTTTATCCAATCCTGCCTTGCTGACTGATCCAAGTTGATTGGGTATCAGTGTCCCTTCCCCCGCATTAGCGTGTTGCGTGAGGACTTCGTAACAAGGCTCATTACGGCTGGATAGATAACAGGGATTACCACCTAAAGTTCTGTATAGGACGTTCAAGCTTCTACTATAAAACAAACACAAAATCAAAAGTAAATGCGATCAAATCAGGCGCACATATGAAGAGGATTGACCGTCCTTTTCAACTATGATTTAAAGCATTTCATCAGAGGAGAACGCAGGCTTGGCGATGCCAAGCTCCGGTCGCCAGAGCTGCTGTAATTTTGCCATAGTATTGCGAGCAGACACGAAGAGTTGGGTGTGGGAGTGGCGTCTCGCCACGCTCTCAAGTGCTTGCACTTTGTTCATGATTGGCCTATGATTTTGTTCAATGGGGACCGAACAGACTTAGAGATACAGAATGATGTGGAAGAAATTACCTCTTCTTCTACCTAAATGAGATTCTCGAAGGGAATAAATAGGAATGAGTACTGTGTTTAGTCTAAAGGCGCCTGGAAGCTAAAGGGGTGGGCGGTGAGTGCCCGACAGGTATTTTGGACTATGTACAGAGTAGTAGGGACTACATCATAGTAAGCACGTGATTGGACAGAGACGCTTCGTAGTAGTTGGCCAACAGAGACAAAATTAGACTTCTGGAATTGAATTATAGTGACATTCTCGGTATTCATATTGAATGATCAATAAATATGGTCATTCTTTGGAGGTTTGGTACGGCAGGATCCTTTGCAGAATCTTGACAGTCAGTACAGGGTGGTCGCAACCATTTGCGGTATAGTGGCTTGTGTCAAACTGTATGTACTGTCAGTTATTCGATATTAGAGACATATAATACATCTTTCGCGGGATAGCCTTTCTCTGACGGCTTTTGGACTGCTTTCTCATTTAGTCGAAATTACCTCTCTAGTCGCCCAGAAGACACTAATCAGTAAGATCCTATAGCTTCAGATATAGAAGGATTTGGAGTATGGACGTCTTCTATGATTGACGGATAAACTGTCATGACTTGGCTAAGTAGCGCTCCCTTGGAATTTTGTCATCCAGACCCATATAGATTTGACAGTATCACGGATGCTCGTCGAATTTATTAAGTCCTCTGAAACGAGCCTACCTGATACCATTTTTCTGACACTCATACAAAGCGAGAATGTACGAACAGCTTATATTTAGATGCCAAAATATGGCTGCTCAGGTACGCATTCCATGACCAACTTAATGCTGTTGGGGATACTATTATTTTAACAAAGAATCCCGACCAGAATATCTGCACAGAGTGGGCGGCTATTACAGGTCGTCGATGCGACAGAACTCATCAGCTTCGAGTTTATCTCCCCAGACTGATTCAAGAAATTTGTGATGAGACCGATAAAAGCGCTTATGCCGTTATACTGGATTTCTTCAATCTTTGTATACGGGTGTTACAGACCACATTAAGAACGCAAATTGACAGGAAGGCAAGACTGGGCTTTTTCATAGCTTGCTGGACTATATCACAACAGGGTGAGTCACAATGACTTGAATTCGAACCGTAGCTTAAGTATCCTTCATTCTTAGTTATTAGTCAGCACGGGAGACGTACACCGTCTCTACAAAAGTGGGTGTCGAAAAGAAGAGGAGAGATAGCGCGATGGGAAATTATTATACTTGAGCGCCTCCATTGGAATCTTGGCATATCCTCGGTGTACCCTTCACTTGGCCAGCCAGGAACAAGAATGAAGCGGGAACACGATCTTCAAATGCTTGGCTCTGAGTTCAGACCCATGTCAGAACTTTGAACCCCACAAAACCCCCTAACAGTCCTTATGAATGTCACGCGCTCGCTCTTAAGCAAAGATTATTACTTCTCACCTTGAGACGAATAGTAATCCCTGTAACGTCCAGGCAAACATCCCATTCCATCAGAAGATCTGACGATGTTGCCAGAATTCTATAAAGGCCTTCCATAGGCACCGATACCAAACAGACTCAAACTGAAGAGCGTTCCAATATTCTCCAACTATTGTGTGGTAAATTCATACCAATAGCCAGTCAACAAACGAAGAGGGTGCGCTTCTTTGTGCTGTGTTGAAGAAAGCCTCGTACGCGATGCGAGCCTTCTTTCGTGATAGGATACCAAATGAAGTTAGGAGGGCGAGGGCAATTCACGCGCACGTAATTTTCGTTCAAAGATATTCCAGTCCATTATCTATGAATATCAATGACTAGAGTCGGTGCTGAACCAAAGATTGTTTGGCCGGTCGAATATATACCAGCAGGGTGGGAGACCTCGACTAGGAGACTTGACGTTCGCTTTAACAGAAAGGCTTGACAGCAATCTAGATCAATTATATCACGTGATCGACATTAGGGACAACGCAACGTATGCGGTGTGCTTCAAGTGCTATCTCTAGGCTCGCTATAAAACTCGCTGCTTGATTGGGTTTCTCGTAGTCTTGGCTAACCGAACTTCTATCTTTGATGTGGTAGTCACCCTCCTCCATAAAGTGTCGTCTTTAGTGATTTTAATATTCAGCGAAAGAGTGCGAATATCAATTGACCTTCATTTCTGGTGCCCTGTGTTCTCTATTTAAAATCATTTACGTTTTACTGAATGCACATATTGACGGTTCCCTTTGGGGTAGGTGGCCTGGGTGATGTCTTTTAATATTAAACAAAGAAAATGGCCGCACAGACACCTCTGGCGGTTGTGAAGAAGGCGGCGAGGTCGAAACGGACAATACTACCCGAAAAGTGGACACATATGAAATGGACGTGAAAGCTTCCGTTTTGGGAAAAGGATTTTTTATCTTGCCCTCACCTTGCCCCTCTTGCTTTTTCCTTTAGGCTTGAGGTTCCTTGAAATAACGATCAGCTTCCTCCCACCAATTGGCCCAGAGCAATTATGAGGTAATACACACCTAATTTCAGGCGCTTAGCAATAGCCCATGTTCTCCAGTCAGCGTTTTCCGCATTGGAGTTCAGCTGGTGGCAATCATACATCCAGATTCTCATGTCTTGACTATGTGTACTAGCATGGCGGGGGCGTTGTAATTGTGCACGACTGAGGACTCACGGGCCTTATGTTTTGCACCAAGATGATAGAGTTGTGAATAACAATTTGGTAAACCATATGATGTCTGAAGAGGAGCCAATGCCGTTCTGCATAGCAATAAGAAGTTTTGGTTATTTTCTCAGGAGCCAACCATTTCCTTGGGAGAATGAGAATTTAGGGATATAGCAGGGATTGATTCGTAATACCCATATGTCGATAGTGACTTCCCAAACGCAACTCCCTGAGATTGCCTTGAAATACCTCACTGTTTGAAGCCAGTAGATGAATGGTTTTTGCTGACCATTGATCGCAATCAACGAGATCCAGAAATCGACGACTATTTATTTGAGCAATGCGTTGACTAGGGTTGCTGCTGGCCAAGTCACTATCCTCCCGACTACTCACCGAAAATTATCCGCCTTGTTGACCTTGACAGCAATTTTGTCGACGAAGATGATATCTCGTCTAACATTTACGTATACTTAGCATTCAATAACAGAAACATGGCTCGATACCGAGCTATTTGTTCGATGAGGTTATATTGAGCATCTAGTCAGCAATTAACAGATTATTAATACCATTTTTGAAATTATCAAACCATCGCCAGTTCATTCATGTCAAATAATATAATACACAAAATAAGCTCCTGTCATAAATTGCACAAATTCAATATAACAAATATTTACCCATAAGTCGAGACCAGTGTAGATGGAGACAAAAAGAACCAAATTGTTTTCAGCAATCTATCGACGCCATCAACTTTTAAAGAAATACTGGAAGGCTGATTCACCTCTTCCGTAAGATCATGGTGATCTCATCTCGAAATGATGGAATATAAATGAAATAGCCTATTTAGATTTAGACAGGTAGATGAGACCATTGTTCTCCGCTGTTTATACTCGGCTACATTTACATATTTAGCCTGCCTCCGCATCGTCAAAGAAAATTTGTCTTATGTCTTGAATTTCTTTGTTCGGACACGATCAATCTACAGACTATCACAAGCAGCTGCGAGTTGAATTGCACTCTGGGTATTTTCAAACTCCTTTTGTAAGAATGACTTGCTCACAAAAAGACACTCACGTTTGAAAATTTTCATCATATCGTCCGCTAAAGTTCGTATGGGTTTGCAGATAAAGAAGGGGAATCCGAGTACTCAAGATACTGTTACCCATTCCGTCAGGTCAGTGCCAGCAAAGAACTTGAGTGTGTATTAATACTGAGTACACTATAGAAGCATGGTATGTTTGCAGTGGAACAAGCAGCTTGGTCGCGGAGAGAGACAGATCTTTTGGAGACTACACAGATTTTGCAAGATTTTTGTTGCTCTTGCGGCTTTGATTTGTGCGATTGCTGCGGGCGTATTGACATTCGATGAGTTTCATCCAACGGAGTCTGAATTAGCCCAAGCAGCCGAGTCTTTCCTCTGTGGTTCTATATTGACTGCGATGATGTCAGAAGTTATTGCCACTATGCTACTCTTCCAATTTGAAGGGGCCTCTGACATCGTACGACGGGATATGGCGATAGCGTGGTCACCGGTGGTGCTCATCGATCTATCGATAATCGAAATGCTTGTCGGAATGGTCTGCTGGTATTCAAGTAAGACCAAGCGGGGCAATGGTGCTTTGATGGCAGTCTATTTGGCGGTGTTACTGAGCTTTGGCATTGGTCTCTCCGCATGGATGTTTCGAAAGTGGCTTTCGCCGAACGAGACCAGTTCTGTAAATGAAGAAAGGGTCCCGCCGGTCGAAGTGACCCCTTACTCGAAGGTGGTTGTCCCTGAACCGGAGGGGATGACTGCAGCGAAATGAAAGACTCTCTATGCCGCCGTGACCTCAGGATGATTTTTATGACTGCCATTTGTTCCGCTACGTCCGAAGTTCTGACCGAAATGGAAATGGTCGGCAATTTGTAACTGTCCCCCCAATTTCAGCTCTGATCATTGCAGTTGCTTGTAACCTTCCATAGCATCTCCCACAGCACTCTGTTACCGGGCTTAAGTTGAAGTACTTGGTATCAAGCATACGATGGGCAGTGTTAGTCATCCGGAACATGATTTGGTCCAGTCGTGGAAAAGTAATCTTTAAAGATGCAGTGATTTTCTTTTCAACAAAGTTTGCTCAAGGATGCTTCTTGATTTATTTGTTCCATGTACACAACAATGGATACCATTTTAATGAAAGTGGACTACGTGCCGCGTCATTATATTTCGCCGCCAGCTACATAGACGGGACTGATAAAGACAGGGTGTTTTCCTCGATGATGTATGCTGCTATGTAGTAAGTCTCAATACCAAAGTCTCAGTTTCATGAATTCAACACTTCATCGGCCATGCATACGCATTAGGTTTTGTTGGTGAGCCCACGACCAATGACGGGAGGAACGAGACAGATTCGAAATCTCAATTTCTATGGGCCTACTTGAAAGGGCTTGTTACATAGAAAGACGGATAGGTGCTATACTATCCATTTAGTCAGAGAATCCAAGGCTTTGTCTCAGATCTCAGCTCCGGAGGCTAGATCGATCAGCGGGGTCGAAGAAGACCCTGCCGTTGCCCCGAATTCTGATGTTCTTTCGCACGTAGCAACATGGTCTAAATTTAGAGATGGCGTCAACGTTTCTAAAAACAGCCACGAGCATCAAGTAGGAATATCACTGATTCCAGAAAAGACCGTGCTAAATAGATGTCGGACGCTGCAAAGAATTTCCTCCAGGGGGTCGACTTGACTTCTGATTCAGCTCTACTGACTAAATTCTATTTTCGGAGGTTTGATATGAACTTACTTATCACCAAGCGGTTCGCTTGGCAGAAGTGGCTCTTCGATTTGTATATCTCCCTGGAAATTGAGGAATTGGGCCTCCCACTTACCTAGCGACCGCAGAAGATGAATAAAAAGATACCGTACTAGACACTCGTGTCCGTCAGCTTCGCGAAGAAAGCAAACAACCCGTAATTCATCCAGCCAGGTTTCCACCACAAGCGTATCCAGAACAACCTGCCAACACTTTGGCGTGATCCAAACCCAGAATCTTTTTTTAAGTTGAAGATACGTACCACGCTAAGAGGAATATTGGACGAAAATCTGTATTGATTACTTCATCACAATGAATTTCGAAAATTTCACACTTGGCCGAGTATGAGATCAAGGAAACAATGCAATAAAACTGGCCACCAGCAAGGATTACAGAGGTAGTACTCCATCGAACGGTCCCTACTACCAACCAGTATGCTGCCGTTTCGATGCATATCAGCTACCTGGACCCCGAATAGTAACCACTAGTCTCTTGCGGGCTAAATCTTTCCAATGTCAGATATCCTACAGAGCTAGGCAGCGGCTCCATTCATCGAGGTTCTAAATGCTGTTATCTCTGAGCTCTACAATATCGTATTCAGAGCTGTCAGTTTGGAATGTCGATGGTTTCCCCTGATTATCAGAGTAACAAGGTATTGCTGTAGAGGCACATTAAACGTACAAAACTTTTATCTTAGATTTAATCTGTGTGCGGGGTCCGAGCTCCATGGTCTGGAACACCAGAACAGCAAATTCTACGTGCAATCTACCAACATAGATCGCATGATTCTCTGTAATCTATCATACGTCTGCACGAAAAGATTTTTGTCTCTTCGCAAATTCTCACTCACCCCTTCCTATCGATTTTACGCGTATACATCTCGTATCAGTTCTTGATAATTTTTCAGGGTGTGCTAGGTCAAATGCATATTTTTGAATTCGTGCTATTTGGTGATCATATACGGTCTTCATAGAGCTTCATTCTTCAATCCGTCCTTTCACATACAAATAAACTAGCACCGTAGGTATACATTCTTTACTATACAAATAGGCCTAGACTTATATCCAGAGTACAACAGAAGGGGGTATGTACAGGCTTCAGCTAGACTGGGTTGCGACGTCTGCGCTTGATGGGGTCGAACAAATGGGCGTGCTTCGCCGGGCCGGCCAGTCGATGTCGATATTGTAATCTGGCGGTTTTGGTGTCATTTTTGATCAACATTGCGAAACTTCATATCGGCTCGCGCAATAGAAGAGTCTGCCAGCTCAAAAAGATTCATCGCCGCTTGTTAATCCCAAGGCCATCTTACAGTGGACTCGTGAGGTATATTGAGTAGTCTGTTTCAATCCTGCGTGCCTTGTAATCTTGAAGAGCATTTTGGTGAGAGTCCATGAAGATGACATTCTTCGGCAACAGCACGCAGACCCTACTGTTCTTCGAGCGCGTGGCCGTCGTTTACAGGGGATGCAGTCCCGTTTTGACCCTTCTCGTGGACGCCAGTTTCGGATATGCTGCACGTTAAAGTAAATATTCCAGGTTATCATGTTGCTAGGTTGAAACACAACTGCCAATTACAGCTGCAAGCTGCAACCCATCGACTTCACCATTTCATTCTAGATCTTATACCGTCGTCCTACTCCTGGCACCAAGACCTAGGCTACGTGCTATAAACAACTTTATATGATATGGGGTACGGATGCTATTCATAGTATCTCTACGTGTAGCGGAGAGGTTTCGATAATAAATTAGATCTTCTGTTCTTAATGTGACCCACATTAAATGGGTAATTGACACTGACTATGTCTACTACCAGAATTGATCCTTCATCTTCGTTGATGGAACGTACAAATACCTGGATCTCCTGCTGGAGACAGAACTGAGAGTTAAATCAGTATGAGATACGTATGTCCTCTGTGCGATGTGCAATTTAATGTGTTTCCTGAAAATGCTCGCCCATGTGCGATAATATGTAGAATTGTTATAGTTAGATTTAATATTGTCAGACCGTATGAGCATATCGGGCAGAGCCTGAATATTAAGAGCATTAGCTTTGAGATACTGTACTGAAGTGTGCCACCTGTATTACGGATCTGCCAGAAAGCTCAGTATCACTCATTTTTGTTTCAAAATCTTAAATTACTAGAAACCAAATATGGTTATCGGCACGGAGATGTCTGCGCAATTTCCAAAATCATGTAAAATGACTAGGGAGGAAGATAGCCTAGCAAGCCCAATACACTCAGCCCTGAAGATCATTCGCAGTAAGTACACTTTGGACGTTCTGCGTACACTTTGGATCTGTAACATTCAACAAGGTAGATCGCAAAATATATGTCGTTGTCTATTTGTCTCATGTTCCCAATCTGTCCTTCAAATATATGTCGTTGTCTATTTGTCTCATATTCCCAATCTGTCCTTCAGCCCGTGCTTACGATTTCTATTTAATATCACAAGAGTCGTCGTGTTTCCATGCTAGGCGCAACATTCGATAGTCTGAGCAATTATCAATTCACAAGATGCGCAACATTTTGATTATTTTTTCTCTCATCGCTCTACGCGGCACACTTGCCGATACTTCTCCACAGATCACAGGCTGTAAAATCGATGGACCGACTCTGAAATGTAAATGTCTAGTAAGAAGCAAGGGCGACTACAAAGCTTGTAGCGTTAAGATAGGAGATAACTGGGTGAACGTTGATGGCGATTTAAAAATTCGGTTGAAGTATGTTACAGCCTGATGCATTACCAGCCCGATTGATATTATTCCTGAGAGATAGCTAACGCTGGATGTTAAAAGTGGCAAGGCGGATGCCTCGTGCATCTTCAATGCCCAAGATTCTATGATGGGTGCTTTTTGCGACGGCGGCAGCGCTGTGATCCTAGTCGATCTCAGTAAGTACAGATCTCTATGGAGTATATTCCACAGCCCATTCGCACATTTACTGATTCAGGCCGTAGACAAATCTTGCAAAAGTGACGACGACGGGAACCTTGTTTGTGCGACAGATCCCCCGGCAACGACAACAGCAACACCCACTGCCGCCTCGGCAACACCACCCACTGCATCTTCGGCAGCACCTACCACGGCCTCGGCAGCGCCCACCACCGTCCCGGCAGCGCCCACCGCGGCCTCTGCGTCCACTGGCGCCTGTCAAGTCACCGGCGCCAGGCGCCGTAAGATCCGAGGGATGCCGCGGTAAATCTTTAGCCATCCACTTGAGGCACTTTTTATATATTCAACTTTCTGGAGCGAACGTGACATCAAATAGAGTAATAGACTGCCATTTTACGCAAGAAGTTAATAAGCAACGGTAAATTATGGACTGTGTTAGAGGCTAGGCGGCTAACACATGGTAAGTTAGCTTTTTGTCTATGAGTCATCGCTCGTATTTTATATAATAATCTCTTATTCGAAGTATACTTTGCTCGAAAAGAGGCTTGATAAGGTAATGGGTACCTAGAATCATGGGAAAAAACATGGTCTCGCCTTGTGACCTGTTCAGATTGGGTTTGGAAGGCAGATCCTCTCTCGCACACCCCCGAGTTCTCGGCATCAAAACAGGCCAACTTTCTGTCTCGGTCCAAACATTAGTACATTACTCACGCATGGATGCACACAGTATACTCTATCGTCGGCCTCTCCATCCCCGTATAGTGTGCCCACCACCAGAGCTGATTAATTTAGCTCACCTTAAGCGGATTTGCAGTGGTCTGAATGGGTGCCACACTAATCGAATCTTGCGACCCACACTTTCCGCAGCCTGCTTTGTCCTCAGTGCAAGTGCTGTGGAGAGCTGATTCTCAAGCTTGTGAGAACCTGACACTCTCAACATTGCTCTTTGTCTTCTGTTCAACATGGCAATATCCCTGTAACAAGGAGTGTGCAAGGTACAACTCACCAATACACGAGAAATTGCGAGAGAAGACTCTTAGAATTACACTGAAATTGTCACGGCGCAGGCTACACATGACGATGGAATACGATTAACTGTCATATCGATCCCGCATCGCCCAAGGGTAACAACCCTAAGTATTTGACTGTAGGATCTTACGAAGGAAAACCCTGAAAGGTGAAAACACTCGACGTTGACTAGAAGAAGAGAGGAGGAAGAAGGAAGCTAAGCTAGACTACTGAGGTTGGTCGTCCCAGGTGGTGAGGGCGTAGCCCAGGCAGTATAGCAGGCCTCACCATCAAACACTAAGGGCACTACGTGGAGATGTAGGGGCTCGGTTCGCAGAATCTTTATGTATATTACGTGGGAACCAGTGGAGTCTACGGGACTTTGTTTACATGGCATGTGATTCTGCCCCTCACCACAGTCCATAGCTTAGGCAGAATCTCTCCCCCTCAGCAATCTCACTCCTCATCCCTCTCACACATCGATACTGCTGCCCCTACTATAGCCGTATCTCATCAGACTCCGCGATTCAGTCTTTGAAATCAGACCCCATAGACTTGGACCCTCTGCCTAGCTAAAAGGTTATCTGACCTGCGGTACAGACCCTACAACAGAAATGCCTCCAGTGTCCTCCTGGTAGACTGCACTCAAGAAACTGCTGCCGGGGAGGGGGCAGATACCAAGTCACTATTCAACAAGCTCCAAAAGCTCACGCCATCCGTTCATGGCTGTCCCTCGTCGCGATCTTACAACCTTGCGGTGAAAGACAACCTGATAGAAACTTGTTTAAATCGAATGTTAAACAAAGGTGGACCGTTTTCAGTTCTGAAGGCGCTACCATATCTATATCAGAAAGAGGATCTAGACCCATCGGAAACCATGCTCTTCGGGAGGTCGGCGTCGAGCAGAAAGACGCTGGCAAAGAGTGGAAAACCAGGGGTCCGCTCAAGAACTGGATCTGACCCACGCGAGTTAATCTGCGTACTTAGACTGTCATCTCGAGTATTCTTCCTTCACCTTGACCACAGACGGAAGATGTTTATGCTTCCCATACTTTCCACGCCTAAAATTCGTAAATATCACCGTAAGAGGGAGTCTGCGTTTACTCGGTAGTCTGACCGTAATAGAAAGGGTAGGGTATTCGTCAACCAGGAGAAGTATCACATCCATCATCCCAACCAATCAACCTCTTTGTTTCATACTCGGTTCAGCTTTCCTGTCCTCTGTTTCATAATTGAGCAAGACCGTCTAGCCCACGCACAGAACCTGGGCACAAGAATAGAGCTAAGTTCATATCGAATTTAGAACATAGTATCCTCGACATCATGTGCACTTCTCGCTGACGAAGACAAGCCGAAGCTGCTAAGGCAATTTCTTCTCATGGCTCACGAGCTAACAAATATGGTCGTCCACACCTACTAGAACAACTCGGGATTCTCCCGTAAATCCTAAACTAGGGTAGCTCCGTAGCGTGACTGCCCCCCTCCAAGCCGCTTTACCTACTGTCGATGGACTGTGCTATGGCGGTGTATCTTACCATGTCGAATGAGGTGAGGTCGTATCGTTCATTGCCTCGGGTAGATAAGGGAACAGCTGAGTATGGTTTGAAAATTGGATTAGAGAAATCGCATTTAGGGAGGAGAAATGTATTACCTTGCCCGTTGAGGCGAATGATTCTGAGTAACTGCTATTCCCCATGCGGGAACTTGAAAGAGTCCTTGAGAGAACCAGGAATCATTCTGGCAAGAACCTCTTCCTAGCATCTACATTCATGACGTTTTATTTAACCTGCTGTCTATATTGATACGTCTGCCTTGTATGCTTGTACCCTCGTTCTTCATTGATATGAACTACTAGCGTTGCTGTCCGTCTCATACCTATTTGATCTTATTGTAAATATATTTACAGCTCGGAGCCTCGTACTAAGATCGAACACTATCAAGACCAGATCATTTGGGTTCGTTGAAAACGAACATAAGGCTCCAGCTGGGAAGGTACACATACTAATAAATAGAGAGACATCTGGCTGTAAAGCGAGCTTCCATGGACCTATTGATAGATGCATATTGTAATGTTTCACGGGTAACTAGAACTATGTATGTTGACATAGGGATGTAGGAGCTCAAAGTTATAGAGAACCAGTCCTTGGTGTTGGTTAACAAAAGCTGGAGGGTGGTGGAAGAAGATATGGCAATGTATCGTTATTGATATAGAACTCTATATCAAAGACAGGTTAGATGAGGTGTTATCACGGCGTCGCTAAACCTGCGTAAAAGAGAAGAAAAAATTACGCAGCGACAAGAGAGTCTTCTCCCCGAATTTGAGCGCACACAACAGGATCGACGATCTGCCTTGCCAGAGCCGTTCTACTTGACGCTGGCGTCACGCGGACCCGAATTCCTGATCAGACTACCAACGGCGTCATTGGCAGAAACGACGGTCTGGTCTCAGGAGTTCTGGGGTGGTGGGAGATGTTTTCAATGTTTTCATTGTTTTTATCGATGGCACCGGTTTTTGGGTCGGCAGCAACGATACTGATATTGGCGGTATGGAAAAATCAATCGACCTTCGAACGCGTTCACACTTTTCCGCTTCGCCTATTGTTGCCCGATAGTCGAATACTTCGCGAGTCGGAACGACGTCCACAACAATAGCGTGGTATCCCAAGTTGCCGGGGGATTATGGCGCATGGATCCTATAACGCAATACACCTACAGATCCCTGGCAGAGATCGAGCGCCGAAATCACTCCGAGGCTTACCCAGATTATAAGCTCCATCACAAGCCCAGTTCCAGGAACTCCTCAAGCAGGCGGTTATGACTGAATATCAAGTTAGTTTTTCGGCAAGCATCAATACGGAGATCTTGGAAGCTCCCCTAAACAGGGCTTATGAACTTGAATCACCTCTAAGCCCCTTCAAGGGCATGGAGACTCCGCACTCGATTTGGAACAGCGCACATGAATCGAATGTCTCCACATTTGACTGTATCGACAACTTCATGGAGATAGCGGGTAGCCGTCCGTCCCCTTTTTTATAGAGGACTGTATCATCTATTCAACCGACGACATTTTCAATTAAAGTCTTGATGAGAGTTCAGCGACAATGCTGATTTATCCCAGTACCTGACTTGAGACACTCTTAATTTTTGGCCGGGTCTTGTCTAAACTGGGCGAGGTCTTCTAGTCAAGTGTTTGGCTTTATAGAGTTATGCCGTTTCGTCATTGTCTCGGCCTATCATTGTGGAGTTGTTTATCGAATTTCAGGGCAAAGAGTTAAACCAGGACCAAGCTATACTAGAATTCTAGACGTGCGACAAGAAATGCGATATAGCTATGCGACATGAACTAGTGCATTTCAATATGAACAACAGGAAGGCTTAGAGACGACCCGCGAGTCAATTTAGAGATCTGCAATAGCCACAGAAGAGCCCTTAAAGTTCGCAGCTCGGTGAAGCCATTCTTGCGTAGTCGAGCAACTCAGAGTCGGACGGTGATTGAGATTGGTGATATTTTCATAGCGTAGGTTTATAGTAGGGCGTGTATTTACGATTCTTCAGCGTTAGAACATCTCGCCGTCTAGTTTCGAGCTGTTTATTTGATTCGGCCTTCTGCCATCTCACTGCCGACCCACAAACCCACACATTAGCTAGCCTAGCCTCTCTCCCTCCTTCTACCAATCAGGTTACGTTTCGTCTTTCTCTTTTCCTGCCGTAGAGAATATCTACGGATGCTAGCAACTAGCTTGTAAGATAGAATTCTTACTGAGAAACACATAGCTGACTGATAGAGTAGCCTTTACTCAAAACACAGGGTATTCGTATTATACTACGCTTCCCGTGCCGTCGCAAAATCCGACTCTCAAAAGTTCCAGTTTCCCAACTCCAAACCACCACCATCCAAGCTGTCTTCCAGAGAAGAATGCTGTCAATGAACTGTCATATAGCGAATGGTAGGCCTGTTGATACTGTCATCGAAGCACCTGTCATGTCTTTATACCCACTGGTTCTTAATACATTTCAGTCTCACTTGGCTAAAAGTACTTATGAAACAATCCGAGTCAAAAACAAATGGCTGTCATAGCGGCAACTTCCTCGGGCCCTTTGAAAGACGCTTTACCTTAGGGCGAGTCTGGCAAGCGTGAACTGAGCCTCAGTGGTCTACTCAACTGGATGTGGCGGAATTGTTTAACCGTTGAACTCGTCAATCCTACAACTTCTGATGCGCTCCATAATTCGGGTCGAAAAACCTTGCTGGTTTCTTTTTGTCATTCCCACTACAATGTAGCAGTTTTTTTTTCATTC